GGGGAAGGCCCGGTTGAAGATCTTAGTAAAGACCCCTGCCAACTGGTCAGCACTCTCTTTCAACACCCATCCCATAATGCCATCAGGTCCAGCCGTTTTCCTTGGATTTACAGCCCTCAGCGTACACCTCACCTCATGCTCTTCTACCCTGAGGGAGGGGCCACCATGGACAGATGGCTGTAGTATGGCTGTCCCCTTTGGCTCCACATCAAAACAGGCAAAGAAGAGATTAAGCTCCTCCGCCAATGGAATGGAACTGGGTACCTTTTGCCCTCCAGGGCCTCTTTAGTGGCACGGTCTGCATGTCCACATGGGCCAAGATCCCTGGTCCTGATGTTTGACTCAGATGAGGAGTCAAATGAAAATTATGTCATTTTGTCAGAGGATCTGAAGCTCCATCAGAACCAGTTCCTGAAGAAAGACTGGGTGATGTGTCATCCTCATAATTCAGAAGACCTCAGGCTATATGCAGAACAGATACTTCGTATGGTGAAGGCATTAGAAATAATTGCCTCCACTACATCTCAGTGTCCAAAGGATAAAATTTTGTCACATCTATACTCTGAGTCACCAGGAGTGGTGGCTTTTCCCATGTTAGAGGGATTCTTAGATGGAGAGTTATGAAGTAAACCTGCAACTATGCCAGTTACATCACAGTGCATAGAGAATTTCTATAGAGTAAAACAGGACAACTGTACCTATTCATGTACACATCCCCCACCACTGCCCTTGGTAATTGAGGAGATGCAACAGAGGGCAGCAAAGCTATCATGCTGCACTGATAGATAAAGAAGGGGGGAAGCTAGATGCGATGGGCTAAAAAATGTACCCTTCGGCAGCACTAGAGCTCAGAATTGTCAGTCTTGCCATCGTGGCAGGGTATCAGCTATGACAAACCTAGACAGCATGATAAAAAGTAGAGACATCACCCTGCCAACCAAAGTCCGTATGGTCAAAGCAATGGTATTCCCAGTAGTAATGCATGGCTGCGAGAGTTGGACCATAAGGTAGGCCAGGGGTGGCCAAACTGTGGCTCAGGAGCTGCATGCGGCTCTTTCACACATATTGTGTGGCTCCCAGCAGGGCGGCTGGGGAAGTGAAGGAGGGGCCTGCTTTCCCTCTCCCTCCCTCCCATCTGCTTTCTTTGTTTCTCTCTCTTTCTCTGTTTCCACCTCTTTCCTTCTTTCTTTTCACCTCTCTCTTTCTTAGACAAATGAATATCATTAGCAAACAATAAATATAATTGGACAAATAAATATAATTATCAATATCTGTTTTATCCCTTTTGTTTTTATTTTTGGCAGTCTCATTTAATGTTAATAAAAAGCAAATCTGCATATTCTTGCGGCTCTCAAACATCTGACATTTATTCTATATGGCCAATAAAAGACTGCACAGTCAAAAGCGATGGCATTCCCAGTACTGATGCATGGCTGCGAGAGTTGGACCATAAGGTCGGCCGAATGCTGAAGAATAGATGCTTTCACATTATGGTGCTGGAGGAAGACTCTTGAGCTCATGTAATTAGTTCTTCTTTGGCAAAGGTTTTCTGTACCTTTGAAATTTTGTTTACTTAATTTCAAGAATTAGTAATTTTTAATATGGCTGAATTTCATATGTCCCGTTTTAAATCAGCTCTGTTTTGACTATATGTGCAGCTTTCACACCTGCGCCATCAGCAGAATTGATCATGCTGGCACCCGTGCCAAACCTACTTGATTGAACTGCAGTACTTCAGAACAGTCAGTTAGCACAAATGCAGGCCCCACCTGGAGGTGGGCAAACCTAGCCCATGAAGCAGGAAAAGGGAGAGGCATCTCATTCAGGAAAGTGAAAGAGGAAATAGTGGGGGGAGGGGGGAATGAGATGCCGCTCACAAGTTCTTGTGGGTTCCCACTTGTAGCTACTATTACTTGTTCTTTAGAAGCTATATGAGATAGCTTGCTCTAGATGATATCCATTAGTTATTTAAGATCTTTCTTATTATGTTTTTAATAGGCTTTTTACATTTTTAGTATGCTTTTTACAAATAACACTTGGGAGAGTATCTCTACAAAGTTAGAAGCTAGCCTCAGCTCCTTGCTTCTATTTCCCTGCCTCCAGGGACACAGCATCAGTCTGGCATCTTTATTGTGCTTACACTACACAGGGATTGTTACTGTGATAAGTGCACTGAACTAAATAATACAGTACTGCAAAAATCAGAAAACATGCAGTTTAAATAAATGCTTTTTTTGCAAAGTTGGAATACAAAAATACAGTCAGTTTCAAATAAACGGAAGTGGTTTTTAACGAAGCAAATGATGTTAGCGACGTGCTCTGGAATGTCCTGTGTCGTTTCGACGTTCCTTCTTCTGAACAAGATTCTATAGATAATTTCCAGGTTTTTGTCTCATCTGTAAGAGTAGAAATAAAGCCTGATGCTCACATATTTTTTCTTCATAGGTCAATAGCAAAGCACAATTGCTAGTAGAAAATTCACTTCAGGCGAGTTACAGTCACACAGCAGGACATCCTCCCACTCCTCACACAAGCGGCCCAGCTCCGGTTTGGATCTGAGCACCCCGTAGCCCGATTTTTGAACAGAGGTCCAGAGGGGAACCAGGAAATTACAAGCCAATTAGCCTAATGTTTGCAAATTAGTGGCAACTGTAATTAAAGATAGAATTATTAGGCACATAGAGGAACAAAGCCTACTGAGAGAAAAATCAGCATTTATTTGCATTATTTATAGTCCAGCTTTCTCATCGAGACTCAAGCATGGCTCCTGCAAAGGTAGAGTCCGCCTCACCTTCCTATGAGTAAAGGCTAAAGAGTCTGGGACTTCTCAGTTTAAAAAACACATGACTTAGGGAGGACATGATGAAACTGTTGAACTTGAGTTCATTCACAAATTCACAACAATAGACCCTCCCAGGGCTGAACAGGATTCTTATCTCACTACAGATGTGAATTTTCTGCCCCAAAGCATTTCCCCTCAGCTCTAACCAAGTCGATTACAATGTGCATTGTGCCTTTGCATCCTTTTCAATACTCAGGGATCTCCATTCCAACTCATATCTGACCAAGGGAGCACTGACTCATGAAAGCTCATTGGTCTCTTGGGTCTTTTAAGGTGCTACTGGTCTCCCATGCAGCTGTTCTACTGCAGACCAACATGACTACCCTCCGAAAATACCTTTGTTGAGTCTGATGCTCCCAGGTTTAAGGCACTCAGCGGCCCTCATAGGGCTTGGGGACCTGAGCATTGATAGTGGTTCCATCATCACAATTCCCTTTCAAGTCCTCTTTCTCTGGGGAAACCCTTGTTTCTGTTTCTCAGCTTCTTCTGCCTTCATCTTTTCTTCTTCCTCTGACTTCTTCTTTTCTTCTCTCAGCTCTTTATACCTCCATTCAGGAATCTGCAGGTAGTTCCCATCAATGACACTGCTTTTCCGCTTGACTAGGTCTGGCTGGAAGGTAGATGGGGGTGCCTTGGTGATACGGACTTTGGGGATTACAAACCCTGGCCGCACACTGCTTCTTCTCAGCAAGTGCAGCGGCAACAGACTGGTTTTCCTTGGAATCACAATGCTCACCTGAGGGAAGTGCAGGTTTACAGGCTGTAGGCTAGCTCGCCGCTCCTTTTTTTTGGAGACTAATGTCACTCTGGAATTCTGAAACAGCTTCTCATAGCTGTTCAGATGGTCTTTATCTTCTAGATATCTGATTTCCTGGGCTCTTTGTCTCCTAAGGATTTCCTGCACAGCTGGTCTGCGTTTTCCTATGCCAGGTGGACTTCCAGGGCACACAGTTTTACAAGCTACACCAACGAAACAGCTCCTTAGGCCTGTTGTCACCCTCACCGTGTGATCAAGGACACCATCTTCTTCAGGCTCACGGGAAGCTTTGAAACACATGATGGATCTCAAGCCTTCTGAGATCCTCTGCAAGCAGCTTTTTGGCTCTTTGGCCTTACTAAGGAGCTCTTTCAACTTTGGCCATTCAAGCTCATACTGGTCACAAAACTGCTCAGCACAAGGTCTATCCATAAGTCTCTGCATAAGACATGCAGATTCCAGCCTTCCTGTGAACCATGCCCATTCCTCAGGAGTGAACCCACGGCCTGGGTCTGTTGCATGAATACTGGCCCCTCAAAGGGGAGATGGAGAAAGAAGGAGAAAGAAAAAGAGAAATATTACAGAACCATTAGACACGTAAAAGGAAGAATCATCTTGAATTTTGTATGGCTTGTTGCCTATTCCCTCTCCAAACTTACTACCTGGAAATGTTCAGATCCACCAACCCTCACTTTGTGGTATCAGAAGATATGGGAAATTTACATAATGGAAAAAGTTATATATCAAATTGGTCAGTATGAGTTAAATCCACCTCAAACTGACTTTATAGAAGTGTGGTATACCATATTTATTTATTTGGATTTATATCCCGCCCTCCCCGCAGGCTCAGGGCGGCTAACAGAGGCATAACGCCAGGTAATAACAATAAACAGTAAAATACTGACTAAAATTACAAAATAAACAAATAATTAACCAGAGTTCTTAAAACATTTTCCGGTGCTCCTCTACTCACTTCCAGATTTTTAAAGTCAAGATGGTGTTCTCAATAATAGTTGCATAACAGTGCCCCACTGTTGTCCCTAGGCACGTCCCACTCCCTCCGATGGTACCCGCACCAGCGATGACAGTATGCGGAAATTATAGGGCGTTGATGGAACAGTGGTGGCAGCGGTGGCTCCTATTCAAAAGCCTGGCGGAAGAGCTCCGTCTTACAGGCCCTACGGAACTGTACGAGGTCCCGCAGGGCCCGGATCTCCTCTGGGAGCTCGTTCCACCAGATAGGAGCCGCCACCGAAAACACCCTAGCCCTGGTCATCACAAATTTGATGGTCTTGGGGACTGGAACATCCAGGAGATTTTGATTCCCTGACCGTAGTGCCCTTGGGGGAACATATGGGGAAAGGCGGTCCCTTAGGTAGGCCGGTCCCTGGCCATATAGGGCTTTAAAGGTACAAACCAGCATTTTGAAATGAATCCGGTACGCTATTGGCAACCAGTACAGCGCTTTCAGCACAGGCTGGATGTGTTCTCCTCTAGGAAGACCCAGCAATAGCCTGGCTGCAGCATTCTGCACTAGTTGCAGCTTCCGAATTTGCAACAAAGACAGCCCCATGTAGAGAGTGTTACAGTAGTCTAACCTCGAGGTGACCGTCACATGGATCACTGTGGCCAGGTCATCACAGTCGAGGAAAGGGACCAACTACCACACCAGCCGAAGATGGTAAAAGGCCGACTTGGCAGTGGCTGCTACCTGGACCTCCATCGATAACGAGGAGTCCAGGAGCACACCCAAACTCCTAACCTCCGACACTGGGACCAATGGCGCCCCATTGAAGGTCGGGAGAAGGAGCCCCAACCCCAGACCGCTCCGACTCAGGCCCAGGACCTCCGTCTTTGCCGGGTTTAATGTCAGCCGACTCAGTCTGAGACAACCAGCCACGGCCTGTAGTGCCCGATGAAGGTCATCTGGAGTGGAATACGACCGGCCGCCCAACATAAAATACAGCTGAGTGTCATCTGCATATTGATGACACCCAAGCCCACAACTCCGGGCAATCTGGGCAAGGGAGCGCATGTAGATGTTAAACAACATCGGGGATAGCACTGCCCCCTGAGGTACCCCATATTCGAGGGCCACCTCCGGGACCACTGATCCGCTATCGCCACCCTTTGTCCCCGACCCTGGAGAAAAGAGGCCAGCCATTGAAGGGCAAGCCCCTGAATCCCCACGTCGGTGAGGCGGTGGGTCAGCAACTGATGGTCGACCGTATCAAATGCGGCCGACAGGTCTAACAACAATAGTGCCGCCACACCGCCTCGAACCAGATGCCTGCGGAGATCGTCAGTCAGAGCGACCAGTACAGTCTCCACTCCATGACCAGGGCGAAAGCCGGACTGGAAGGGATCGAGGACAGAAGCGTCATCCAGAAAGCCTTGCATCTGTGTCGCCACCGCTCTCTCTATAAGTTTGCCCAAATAGGGCAAATTGGACATCGGCCGGGTCCAATGATGTTTTTTTCAAGAGAGGGTGGACCACTGCTTCCTTGAGTGCCCTGGGGAACAGTCCCTCCAAGAGAGACTTGTTGATAATCTCCCGCAGGGCACCTCGAAACCCCTCACGACCCGTTTTAATGAGCAAAGAGGGGCACAAGTCAATGTCGCATGTGGTTGGACGCACAGACACAAGCAATCTGTCAACTTCTTCCAGACTGAGTGGGCAGAAACTCACTAAACCCGGCTCCAAAGACGTGCAAGGGGCCTCAAGTTCGCTCACTGGCGGAGCGCCAAGACTTTCTCTGCAAAATAGCTCGCAAATGCCTCACAGCCTATATCCAATTCCCTCACATTTTGCCTGCCCTGTGGCAGAGCTGTCAACGACCGAATTGTGCTAAATAATTGTGCCGAGCGTGAGCTAGCAGATGCAATCCCGGTCGCATAGAACTCTCTCTTAGCGGCCTTGACTGCCATCTCATAGGATCTCAACCCACCTTTTTCTGACCCCCTGCGGACCGAGGCAACCGCCTGGGCAGAGGTACCGACTGGGCTACTTAAGGTGGGGCCAATTTAACCCAGACTCAACGGCAGAGACGTACGTGCTCACGCAGGGGCCCCAGAGTGGATGTTATTGCTGCCCGGTTACGATGAGCTGCTGCGGCGTGGTATGTGGGACTGTACAACATGCAGGGCTAGTGAACTTGGACGCTTTTATGTGGCCGTTGTGTGCCCAGTTTGAGGATCGGAATGCCGGGCCCAAAGCAAGGGCCTTCTTACGCACTCTGAAGCAAGGGAAGCGATCAGTGAGAGAATACTCGTCGGAGTTTAAATTGCATGCAGCCAAGGTCCAAAACCGGCCGGATCAAGTCTTAGCAGAGTTGTACAGGGTAGGGTTAAACCCAGAGATCCGCGAAACGGTCCTGTGTGCAGTAGACCCGATTTCCCTCCCAGCGTGGATGCAAGAAGCGGAGAGTGTGGAGACTCGGTTGAACACGCTACATCTAGACATCGCAGCGGCAGGGGGAAAGTCAAACCCCCCCCCACTGAAGGTGAGATCTGCATGCCCGACTGAGTCTACCAGAGAGCAACAGATGAAACAAGGGCTCTGCCTAAAGTGTGGAGAATGGGGCCATTTCGCAGCCGACTGTGGGGGATCGAGCCCAGGGAAGCCAGCACAATTGGAACCAGCCAAGGCACGGCCAGGCACACCAGCAAAGAAACCAGTGGGAAAACCTAAATTTGCTAAAGCGCTACAGGTCGCCCCAGAAAAAATCGGGGAGGAATCCAGCGAAGACGAAGGCAACAAGCCAGCGGGAAAAGGCCAGGTCCTGCTGTGAGTGGCACAGAGCAGCTGGGTGCCAAAAGCAGTGAGCAGCTACCTCCCCCCCATTCTTCGTGACTGTAACTATTATTAACCCAACGCAAGGAACTCACATTCGCGTGAGAGCCCTTATTGACTCAGGGTGTGGGAGGGACCTCATCAATCCCTCCTTAGTAACGGGGTTTGAAGCTGGGGTGGTGAGACTACAAGACCCCCTAATTTTCACTCAAATGGATGGGTCCACGATGAAGTTGCCATGTGAGTTCAAGATGGTCCCGTTGCAGGTGGAGGCGGGGGATCACTGGGAGGAACGTCCGTTTGTGATCACCCCCACAGCCAGATTCCCACTGGTATTAGGGAGCCCCTGGCTGCATGGACATGACCCTTACATTTTGTGGGATGAAGGGAAAGTACAGTTCATCTCCCCTCAGTGTCAATTGCACCGTTGGAACTCACAGTGGGGTTCACAACCTGTCATGGAAAACCCAAGGGCATGTTTGGCCCAAGAGGAATTACAATCCATTCCCCCTGAATACTGAGACTTGGCTAGGGTCTTTGAAAAGGAAGAAGCCGATGAGTTCCCCCCCATAGGCACTCAGACTGTAGTATCGAATTGCTGCTGGTCACAAATTGCCTAAGGGGCACATCTATATGATGGGGCCGGCAGAAAAGGATGAACTGTGTAAGTTTATCAATAAGAACCTAGCTAGGGGTTTCATCAGGCCAGCCTCCTCCCCTTTTGCGGCCCTGGTGCTGTTCCGAAAAAAGAAAGACAGGGGCTTGCGGCTGTGCACGAATTATCGGGGTTTAAATGCTGTGTCATCGACTAATGCCTACCCCATGCCCCTCATTAAGGATTTACTGGCTGAAGCGGCTAAAGGGAAAGTCTTTTTGAAACTAGACCCCCGGGATGCCTACTTCCGGGTACGCATCCGGGAGGGGGACGAGCACAAGACTGCCTTTAATACACCCCTCGGCTAGTTCGAATACCGTGTGATGCCATTTGATCTTCAGGGGGCTCCGGGGGTCTTCATGAACTTGATTAACGAAGTGTTGCACAAGCATCTGTTTAAGGGGGCCCTTGTTTATCTAGATGATATCTTGCTGTACTCCCCCGACCTCCCCTCACACATGAAGTTGGTGAGGGAAGTCCTGATGACGTTGCACAACCACAAACTGTTTGCGAAACTTTCCAAATGTGAGTTTCACAAGTCACACATTGACTTTTTGGGGTATCGTATATCGAATAAGGGACTGGAAATGGACCCAGGGAAGGTCCGCGATGTGCTAGGGTGGGTTAGGGTTAAGCTAACCCTAACCCCCTGCACCCGCTGCCAATTACAATCCTTCTAGGTTTCTTGAACTTTTACAGAAATTTCCTGCCCAACTTTGCACAAATCAGTTTGCCCCTCACTTCACTGACTTGCTAAAAACGAAAGGGAAGGGTCCGGAGGCTACCAAGCCGGGGGCGACGCTGGCTTGGAGCAAAGAGTGCCAAGAGGCTTTTGACCACCTTAAATCCCTGTTCACATCAGAACCTGTCTTAGCCCACCCCGATGAAAATAAAAAATTAATCGTCCAAGTCAATGCATCAGACGTAGCCATGGGGAGGGGCGATCCTGCAAGAGGGGGCTGACGGGTTACTGCACCCCTTAGCTTATGTGTCAAGAAAGTTTAATGACACTGAGCGGAACTGGTCGGTTTGGGAAAAGGAGGTGGGGCGATCAGGCTGGCACTTGCTACCTGGAGGCAATGGCTGGAAGGAGCACGAGTCCCGTTTGAAGTCTGGACTGATCACAAGAACTTGGAAATGTTTAAAACACCCCGGAGCCGCAATGCCAAGCAGCTCCGGTGGGCTGATTTCTTTTCCAAGTTTCAATTTACCCTTCATCATTTCCACGGTTCTACGAACTCTCTCGCTGACGCCCTATCCCGCCTCCCTCAGCACGACAGCCAACGGGAGGTGATTTTGGACTCTATATTTACGCCCTCCCAACTCGGCAGGGCGGTGACAACGCACAGCCGTGCCAGCCCCTCCTCACCTACTACGCACCCAGAGCCTTGTCCCCACCCCCCTGACTTGCCAGATGGGACGATTGCTGCAACCTCTCCCAACTCCGAGTTGGCTGTGGGAGGCGATATCCATAGACTTTATCACGGATTTGCCCCCGAGTAAAACTATGTTGGTCATTTGGGTTGTCATGGATTTATTCTATAAGCAAGCACATTTTGTCCCATTCGCTTCCCTTGTTCAGTCGCACAGTCGAGTCCGACTCTTTGCGACCCCATGGACCAGATAATGCCAGCCCTTCCTGTCTTCCGCCGTCCTCTGAAGTTGGCTGAATTTCATGTTCGTTGCATCTATGATACTGTCTAACCATCTCATCCTTTGCCATCCCCGTCTTCTTTGACCTTCAATCTTTCCCAGCATCAGGGTCTTGTTCAGTGAGTGCTCCCTTCTCATTGGGTGGCCAAAGCATTTGAGCTTCAGTTTCATTATCTGGCCTTCCAGGGAACAGTCAGGGTTGATTACTTTTAGGATTGACTGATTTGATCTTCTTGCAGTCCAATGGACTCTCAAGAGTCTTCTCCAGCACCATAGTTCAAAAGAATCTATTCTTTGGCGCTCGGCCTTCCTTATAGTCCAACTCTCACAGCCATACATGATTACTGGGAATACCATTGCTTTGACCATGCGGACTTTTGTTGGCAGGGTGATGTCTCTACTTTTTATCATGCTGTTTAGGTTCGCCATCGCTTTCCTCCCAAGGAGCAGGCGTCTTTTAATTTCATGGCTGCTGTCACAGTCTGCGGTGATCTGGGATCCCAGGAACGTGAAGTCTGTCACTACTCCCACGACTTCCCCTTCTATTTGCCAAGGAGTGATGGGGCCGGATGCCATGATCTTAGTTTTTTTTATGTTGAGCTTCAAGCCCACTTTTGCACTCTCCTCTTTTACCCTGAGCAGGAGGCTCTTAAGGTCCTCTTCACTTTCTGCCATTAGAGTGCTATCGTCTGCATATCTGAGGTTGTTGATCTTTTCCCCAGCAATCTTAATTCCCGCTTGTGATTCATCCAGGCCAGCATTTCGCATGATGTACTCTGCATATATATTAAATAAGCAAGGCGACAATATACATCCTTGTCGTACTCCTTTTCCTATGCTAAACCAATCAGTTGTTCCATATCCGGTTCTAACTGTCGCTTCTTGGCCCTTATACAGGTTTCTCAAGAGACATGTGAGGTGGTCTGGTACTCCCATCTCTTTAAGGACCTGCCATAGTTTGTTGTGATCCACACAGTCAAAGGTACTTTCTTGCTTTCTCCATAATCCAGCGAATGTTGGCAATTTGATCTCTAGTTCCTCTACGTCTTCGAAACCCAGCTTGTACTTCTGGCAGTTCTCTATCCACATACTGTTGAAGCCTAGCTTGTAGGATCTTGAGCATGACCTTGCTAGCATGTGATATGAGTGCAATTGTGCGATAATTTGAACATTCCTTGGCATTGCCCTTCTTTGGGATTGGAATGTATACTGACCTTTTCCAATCCTGTGGCCACTGCTGTGTTTTCCAAATCTGCTGGCAAATTGAGTGCAGCACTTTAACAGCATCATCTTTTAAAACTTTGAATAGCTCAGCTGGGATACCATCACCTCCACTAGCTTTGTTGTTAGTAATGGTTTCGCTTCCCTACCCACGGCAAAAGCCCTGGCGAAAGCTTTCCTACTCCACGTGGTCCATCTACACATGCTCCCGGCTAAAGTCATATCTGATAGGGGGGCCCAATTCGTTTCCCGGGTCTGGGGGGAGCTTATGAAGCTTATGGGAATCGAACGTGCGTTAAGCAGTGCCTATCATCCCAAGACTGATGGACAGACAGAACGAGTAAATCAAACCTTGGAGCAATATCTGCGCTGTTTCACTAACTATCAACAAGATGATTGGGTGGATCTCCTACCGCTTGCCAAGTTTTGCTATAACAACACGTGTCACTCATCTACGGGGATGTCCCCTTTTAAGGCACTGTATGGATATGACAGCCCCCCGGTGCCTTTCCTGGAGGGAACCTCAGAGTTGAGGACGGGAGATGCAGCGCAATGGTGTCAGCACCTGAAGGACTCTTGGCCGCTCCTCTGCAAGTTTCCTACTGCAAGGTGTTCTGACCAAATCTTGCCTCTCATCCCCCAGACATAGTACTACTGTTCCCCTTTCCAGCACAGTTATACCTTCTCCTTAGGAATGCCACTGCCACAACCTTGGCCCAGTCCTAATGCTTCCATGCTTTGAGAAGCCTGCATTATCTGCCTCTAGCATCCATTTAGCATTTTTCTGAACTACTAAGGAATTAGTAAGGAATTGTCATCATGACCCTATAATGTCCTCTCTTTGGGGTTTAATCCACTGAGCAACACAGTAGCCCCTGGAAGTTAAATTGCAAGTGGATGTAGAGTTCATTCCCTGAAAGATAGTCTGAACCATTCTACTTTGGTGTAATTCCATTAGTAAATGGTTGCTTGTTCTGGGCCTTCACAATAGTACAGGTATTTCCAGCCCTCCCCATGCACCCACGTACTTTTTGTACCCCTCTTGGAACCCAACTAAATTCTCTATGAACAAAGGCACTTCTTCAGCATGCAACAGGGCTCTCCTGCCTCCTCCTTTTCACTGCATCTTGTTTTTTGGTTCATGGCTAAAATTAGTTGATGATAGTTTACAGAAGCTGGGCTTCTCCTTTAAGCTTTTTAACCAAATGGAATATCCCTCCACATGTAAACCAATTAAATTTAGCATGTTACACTATCTGTGGAGCTCTAAGGGTATGTTTCCTATATTATTTGGGTTTCTCAACTCCAAAGATTCTACCAGCTTACTCTAAGTTTGTAACAGTTCCCAAATATAGAATACTATTATCTAAGGCAAGGCTAAATGTCTTGCCACTAGGGAAACTAGCAGGTATGTTCTCAGGGATTCCATTCCCTGAGCAGCTTTGTGGCTGCAAACCTGGGAATTTAGATTGATTGATTGATTGATTGTCATTTGGCATTTTTTCATTGATTGCAACAAATACAACACTGCCCATGAGAAGCGGATTACCATTTACATCCAAAAATTGAGCCCCGCTGTAAAGCAGGAGATTGTAGCTAAGCTATTAGCTGACACAGTGACCCAAATGTGACTCTCGCAGTTGCAAAACTGTTGTCTATGGCATTTCATGTTATTACTTTCTAATGTAAATCTTTTACTCATAATTCTGTACCTTTGTGTTTCCCCTCGTCTGCCTGTATAGTGCTGGGTTTTTTGTCTTTTCCTCTGTTTTGTTTTTTCTCTGTGGTCTATGAGCACTAGTAAAATAATGGAATGGAACGGAATAGTCCACTGGTCTCCCTACTGCTATTGGGAGACACGGGATCCTCAGGGACAGCATGAAATAGCTGTTTGTGCTGTGTCTGGGGGGGGGGGGGAGAGAGGGGATAACAAACCTGAGAACTCTTCATACCTGCCAACATTAAGGCTCTGATACATTCTGTTCGACCTTGCATTGCAGATTTCATGAGGGCAGTAAATCCAAAGACATTTCTTTTCTCTATATCGAGACCAGGATAATAATTCAGTAAATAATGTGTAATGGTAATATGTCCTACAAAAAGGAAAGAGAAACGATCAGTCCTGAAAAATATTACTTTTAAATCAATACAGGCTCATAATTTGAAAAGTTCCAAAATAAGGAAAGCATTGTGAGACTGTAAAAAAAAAAAAAAGACATACCGTATTATGTGTCTCAGAATGGTAGTTTATTATACTGTTATAATTATAGTGTTACTGTAAGTTGCTTTATGCAGTTATGGTATATCTCTTCTTTTCCACTGAATATTTCTATTAATATTACATAATGAACAGTTCCTTAAAAGTGGGAAAACGCCATCAGTATAAACTTTTTGTTTTATAAATAATCATGGCCTGAGACTTCAGGGCAGATTTCTAAAAGGTCAGCAGAGTATATTACCCACTCAAATGTCACCTTACAGGGATCCTGTGTGCTAACCATTATAATATTACTATTACATATGCAAGTATAACCATGGCCACAAAAACATGGGAATAATTTTGTAGAAATATGTCTTTATATTCTTTGGGCCTGCTGTAGTCTACCTATACCCCGCCCCCCCCCGGGTCGCACATCGCCCCATAAAGAGCTGGTATTACTTGGCCCCAGCACCTGTGCTGGAACAGTGTATGTCCTCCGTGGGCAGACAGCCCTGCAATGTGGAAAAACACTCCCTGGGGCTGTTTCAAGTCAGGAAAAAAACTTGGGGGAGGCAGGAGCTCCTCCCTCCCTCCCTCCCTGCAGTCCCAATGTAATTCAGGTCCCTGCATCACTTCTAAATTGAGTTTCCACTGGGAACTTCAGCTGTCACAGAGCTGCCAGTCCCCATGGTAAGAGACATAAGAGACGCCAATGTTGGATCAGGCCAAAGGCCCATCCAGTCCAACACTCTGTGTCACGCAGTGGCCAGAAATACCAGTGCCATCAGCAGGTCCACCAGTGGGGCCAGGACATTAGAAGCCCTCCCACTGTTGACCCCCCCCCCCCAAGCACCAAGAAGACAGAGCATCCCTTGCCCCAGAGCCCCTATCTATACCTTGTGGCTAATAGCCACTGATGGACCTCTGCTCCATATGCTTATCTAATTCCCTTTTGAAGCCATCCGTGCTTGTAGCCACCACCATGTCCTGCGGCAGTGAATTCCATGTGTTAATCACTCTTTGGGTGAAGAAGTACTTCCTTTTATCCGTTCTAACCACATGGTGATCATGTGGTAGATGTACCATATACCTTGGACCTCAAAACTTCCTCTCAACAAGAGGCAAAAAAAATATTTCTTTCCATAGGAAAGATGAAGTTCAGCAAAAGTCTCAGCTATTTTTCTAAAGCCAAGCAAGATCCAAAAATCCCTTTTACGCAGGCAGCACAGGAAAAAAACTGCCTTTTTGGACCTGAACCACAGAGACAGCACACAGTATGATTTTGAATGTCTGTATAAATAGATTCAGTGTATTTATTCTTAGAAATGCTTTCAGCGGATCATATCAGGCATTATCTCCAATAGAAAGCTAGCTTGGGTTTTGTTTGCTTGGCTCTGAAAGCTACCATCACTGAAATATGTGAAAAAATTATCACAGGAGTAGCATGAGTGTTCTGGTTCTGGAATGATAGCCCCCAAAGTAGAATGGCAGCCCCTGGGAGTACCATGAGTTTTCTGCAAATGGAATGGCAGCCCCCAGAGTGTCATTCCAGTCCTAGAAAACTTCTGCTACTCCCAGGGGCCGTCATGCCACTCTGGGTGTGTTCAGTCTGTGCTTGTAAGGACCAGGAGTTCAGGCACCTCAGGCTACAACTTTGATAGTGAAAAGCTGACAAAAAGCTGAGATGGCTCCATGTTACTTGGTGAAACTTTAAGTTTTGTACACACAAAAAGGCTATTTTTTTTAAAACTGCCCCGAAAGGCAGAATTTTATTGAAATTTTCACGTTTTGCACAAACACAAAATAAACATATATACATACACATTATTATTCTTTTTAACAAACATTATGCTTATGCCTAATCCACCTTAATCTCTATTCTTGTAAATTATGTTGAATAACCATCCATCTCTACCTCAATCGAGTATATACTTTCTAATAAACGAATAGTCTGTCCATTATAAGCTTGCCTACATGTAATTATAATACCAATTATAGAACCATGTCCAAGTATTCTGGAATGTAGAACCGTGTCCAAGTATTCTGGAATGTAGAGTCTGTTAAACCTTTTATCAATAAAGACAATTTATCCAATTCCGCTGCCTCCAAAACTTTGTTTATAAATTCTCGCTTTGTTGGTATCTCTGTTGATTTCCAATATTTAGCATAAAGAATTCTGGCCGCCGTAGTTAAATATACAATCAAATAGCGATCATCTTTGTTGGAATTTTCAGGTAAAATGTTCAGCAATAAGACCTCTGGTTTAAATATCACTCCCCTACCTAACACCTTTTGCAAAACTTCATGCACCATTACCCAATATTTCTTAGTTTTTTCACAATGCCACCACATATGATAAAATGTGCCAACCTTATTTTCACATTTCCAACACTTATTAGAAAATTTTAAGTCGATTTTAGCTAACCTTTCAGGTGTTACATACCAGCTATGAAACATTTTATAAACATTTTCTTTATAAGGAATAGCTAGTGATCTTAATATTTTTCTTCCATATTTGGTCCCACTGCTCCAGGTTAAGATTCTGCACCCGTTGAATCATATTCCCTTTCACTATTTCATCCAACATCAAATCATCAAGTAAAAATACATAAAGTCTTCATATAAGTTTTAGGTCCGTGGATATAATAATCTTTTCAATCTCTAACAAGTTTTTATAGAATCCAATTTTCTTATCTTTGGTAAATCTAGATTCTATTTGCGCTCTTTGCCACCATGGTAGATCCTCTAGTGGTTTCAAACGTTCCTCAGAGTCCAATATATCCAGATACCTTCTCTGCATTTCTTCCTGGTAAGCATTTGGGAGTGGAATAGCTTCTAGTGGGACAATCATTTTTTAATTTTTTGTACAGAAATGCCTGTATATATTTTCCCAAACTTTTCGGCAAAAAGCTGGCTTGGTCTTTATGTATTATCTTTGATTTTATAAGATTTTTAAAAATCTTTCTGTCTAGTGGTTTCAAACGTTCCCCAGAGTCCAATATATCCAGATACCTTCTCTGCATTTCTTCCTGGTAAGCATTTGGGAGTGGAATAGCTTCTAGTGGGACAATCATTTTTTAATTTTTTGTACAGAAATGCCTGTATATATTTTCCCAAACTTTTCGGCAAAAAGCTGGCTTGGTCTTTATGTATTATCTTTGATTTTATAAGATTTTTAAAAATCTTTCTGCTAATACTGAGGCAAATATTTTATAATCCACATTTTACTAATGAGATCGGTCTATAATTTTTGATTTCTTTTTCATCCGAATCTTGTTTATGAATTAATGAAATTATTGCTTCTTTCCATGATTCTGGAATTTCTCCATTAACCAATATGTTATTGCAAACGTCTTTAAAATGTAATTGTAATTGTTCTTCAAATGTAAGGTAGAATTCTATTGGTAGTCCATCTGGGCCTGGTGCTTTGCCTTTATTTTGTCTTTTTAAGACTTCTACCACCTCCATCGTTGCCCTTAATCAACCATCATCGTGATTGGTTGATTAAGGGCCTCCCTTTGTTTTCCTGTAAATTTCTTCGGATGATGCGTATTTAAATATTCTTTTATCTGTTCCATATTAAC